TCATGCCGTGCCGGCTGTTTAGAGCGCTCCCGGGGCTGCTCAGCTGTAGCGCGCCCCGATGCCGGTGCGGAGTGGGAGGATCGCCCCGAAGCCTTCGTGGCAGGGGTCCTCCCGCTCTGGTGTGCCTCTCCTCCATGTTTTGGAAAGGAAGAGGCTGGTAGGGAGCGGGATGGTGAGGGTTTGCCCCTCGGCTCACTTCTGGAGGGTGGGGGAAGGCTCTTGTCGTGTTGCCACCTATTCCCCAGCGGGCTGTAAAGCCTTTTCAAATAAAATCATTCTTAGGCGGAGCTCTCGGTCCTTCCTGGCTCTCACTGTGAGTGAATTGCAATGAGTGCAGCTGTGGGGAGAGTGAGATTCCCCCAAACAGTGAATGCACTTTGAATGCCCATCTGAAGCCGCCATAGGATCCCGGCACTGGTCACATTTTTTAAAGCCAGAGGAGCCGGACATGGCCCGTTCCCTCCTCTTTGAGCGTGTTCTATGTATTTACTTGGCTGTTACTGTTGTTGTCGTCTGTCTCCTTGTGTTGGGTTTTTTTTGTTAAAACTCTTTTCTTTCTTTCCTGTGTTGAACAGCTGTGAGAACGCCAGTACCTCAGAGTCCCGGTTTGAAGAGGATTCTAGCCCCCGGGGGGGGGGGGGGGGGATTTAGGTAAGTGTATTCTTCTTGTTTCTAGTTTTCTTTAAAAAAATAAAAAAAACCACACCACCAAGGAAAGCTAACTTGGAATAACAGTGGAAAAGAACTATGACTAAACTGGGGAGAGGAGAGTAGTCAGAGTGTCTTACAGGGAGCTCCTGTTTGCTCTGTCCGCTGACGAGGGCGGTTAAAGAGGAACTGAAAGGGAGGGGGTTGAGCCGCGCTCCTCAGGAGGCGGGAAGGGCTCGAGACACCTCCTGGGCATGCGTGGCTCAACAGGGGAAACTGCTATACAAAGCTCCGATCTGAGGCTCAGGGCGACCCTTCACCTACAGTGGAGCACCCACGGGGACACTACTCGAAGAAGAATATCTGGTTTGTTTGCATGGTTACCACCTGGAAATAAATAACTTTCACGGTAAAACTCTTCACTCTCCTCTCTCTTCTGGGAGTTTTTGGCTCCCCTATTAGCTCTGCAGCAACTCTTCTTGTAAAGATCCCTGAGGTATCAAAAAATCTGGTGGGGTCTGCTCATCAAGCAGGTTACTACCAGAATAATTTAACATGGAAGTGGGAGAAGGAGGATGGTAGCTTGGAAGTGCTGTTTGACCCAGCCTACTGTGTCCAAGGAAATATAAGGGGTCACCTTGGGAGTGCTGACTAACCCAGTACTCTCTGACATGCTCTGTTAATGAGCAATGTTCATCTGATTCCAAGGCGTGAAGAACCCAGCCTTGGGGAACCTAGCTCCTGCAGAAGAGCACCACTGTGAGGGAACTGGCAAAAGGGAAAAGTAGAACTCTGTATGAGAGTACAAGTGACAAACAGCACACTGGTAGAATTACCCCCCCAGACAAATAACACTAATTACTGGGTGTACCCCATCATAATAGATAAATCTGTTAACACTCATCCCCGCACTTCACTAGAGACTTTCTGCAGAAGCTTCTACAGTCTGCTTTCCATCTGCCTTCCTATGACAGGTGTTTCTCCAACCTGTTCTTAAAAACTTCCATTTATGGGGATTACACAATCTCCTTTGGAAGTCTATTTCACAGCTTAACTATCCTGATAGAATGTTCTTCCTAGTATCTACCTAAACCTTCTTGCTGCAGATTAAACCCATTACTTTTTGTCCTACCTTCAGTGGACATGGAGAACAATTCATCGCCATCCTCTCTATACCAGCCCTTACCATATCTGAAGACATATTAGGTTTCCCCAAATACCACTGTGTCTTCTTTTGACACTAAGCTTGCCTAGTTCTTTAAAACTTTTCCTAATGGGTCTAGTTTTCTAAACCTTTTATCAGTTTTCTTCTTTGTCCTCTTTTCTCAGTGTATCCATATTTTTCCCTAAATGTGGTATCGAAAATTGGACACATCTGAGGCACTACCAGTACTAAGATCAGTGCAACAATTACCTCATGGAATCTTACATACAACACTCTTGTTAATACAACCTAGAATATTAGCCTTGCAAAGGATTTTTTTTGTAAATTGAAAACAGTTAAGATAAGTTTTTTGTTTAACTAACACTTCAAATACTCTTCATGCTCTTTTAGTTTTTAGTTGTTACCAAATTGAGGACTACTTGTTGTGTATGATGTGGCTGTATCTAAAATATATAACATAGATCTTTAAACACTGATCTTTCACTTACCTTTGCAGTCAAGTTCAGAATTTCAAATTTCTCTGTGACACTTGATGACAAGTATTTAATATAATGCTCGGCACAAGCCTGTGCATGTTTCTTTTCTTTATATTTAATTTAATAATGTGTCTTTCCTAGCATTACACAGATTGAGAAAGAAACAAAGCTTGACTACATAGGATTACCTGCTATTTAACCTTTCTTTGATCAAGTGGATAGTACAGTCAGTTCATTCAAACAAGATTCAACCTTTACTAGAATGTTTTTATTCCGGGGAATAGAGTTGGAGGTAAGGAAGTTGTTAAGAAACTAGTTTGGATATATAGGGATTCATTAGGAAAGTTGCAACCCCTTTCATAATCTTTCCAAAAGGATTCACTTATTTCATGCTGTCTGCAAGTGAGACAATAGCTAATTAACAGAATTCCTTCTCCGTCCTGCTGATGTTACTATCTAAAATTAAACCAGCTCTTCAGGGCAGGAATCCTCTCCTCCTTTCTACTGTAAAGTGACAAACACACATGTGCAGTAATATGTGAAAGTAGTAATCAAGCCCTGATCTAGATAATATGAAAGGTAGGGCAGGAAATGAGGCAGAAAAGTCTCCATTTTACCAAGAAACCCTTTGCTTACTCCTCCACTGCAATACAACAACCTCCTCACTCTCATTGCCTTATCTATTCCAAACTCAAGTTGCATCTTAACACCTATTCCAGCGCATTTTAAGAACAAAATGAGAAATAGTCACAAGATCTTCACATTATTAAATGTATATCACATGCTACCCATTGCATTCTGGAATACAGTACAGGCAGTCCCCGACTTACGCGGATCCGCACTTACGAACGGGGCTTTTCTTGCCCCGGAGCTCGCGGGCGGCGGGACCGCCCAGAGCGCAGCGGTCCTGCCACTGCGTCCTCCGGGGCGAGAAAAGCTGCTCCGGGTCTCCCTGCTGTGCTGGGTCCCCCGCCTGTGCGGCTTTGCTTCTGTCTCCCTGCTGTGCACAGCTAATGCACAGCAGGGAGACAGGAGCAAAGCTGCAGAGGTGGGGGACCCTGCTGGCTTTGCTCGGGTCTCCCTGGTCTGCTGGGGGAGGAGGGGGCGCAGCTAGTGCGCTCCCCCCCCCCCCCCAATGGGCTCCCGAGCTGGACACACACAAATAAATCCCATATCTGTTGGCACTTGAAATACAAGTTCATTTTACATAGTCTGTTATGTACAGGCAGTCCCCGGGTTATGTACAAGATAGTGACTATAGGTTTGTTCTTAAGTTGAATTTGTATGTAAGTCGGAACTGGCTCCAGATTCAGCTGCTGTTGAAACTGATCAGCGGCTGACTACAGGAAGCCCTAGGCAGAGTTACTCTGCCCCCGGCTTCTTGGAATCAGCTGCTGATCAGTTTCAACAGCAGCTGAATCTGGAGCCAGTTCCGACTTACATACAAATTCAACTTAAGAACAAACCTATAGTCACTATCTTGTACATAACCCGGGGACTGCCTGTACATAACAGACTATGTAAAATGAACTTGTATTTCAAGTGCCAACAGATATGGGATTTATTTGTGTGTGTCCAGCTCGGGAGCCCATGATTCAACTAGGACAAAGTGAGTTCAGATAAGAGGCAGGAGAATGATTAAAGGATTAGTAAAAATGTGCCTTATATCGCTAAACAAAGAAAGGCAAAGGGATGGTTTAACAAGTACCAACACAAAGAAATATTTAATAGGCTCGTCTGTCAATCAGAAAAGTCTAACATGACCTGAGAGCTGAAGCTTTAAACTAGATAACTACAGACAGAAAATAAGGCATATATTTTAAAATGGTGAGAATAGTCAGTCATTGGAAAAATTTCCCATGTGACAGATTCTCAATCACTAGCAATTTTTAAATTGAGATTAGATTTTTAAGATATATGCTCTAGGAATTATTTTGGGGGAGATGGTCAATGGTCTGTACCACAAAGCAGTTAAAACTAGGCTGCAATAATCTCTTTTGGACTTAGAATATATGAATGATCTTGTTTTGGAGCTTTACTACTTCAGCTCAAAACTCTTGGAAGTGCTTACACACAAGCAGGTCATCCCTTTAAGAGATGTAAGAGTTTCAATGAAAGCTGCTGCTATGTCTGCCAGACAAACACATGCCTGCAACAGTGTTTATACTGAGCAAGTAGAGGCCACACTACTTATTTTCTTTGAGCCTTTAAAGGCTGACTGGGGGAAAAATTTCCAAAAGACTGCAACACTCCAGAAAAGCATCAATTTACCAAACATTGTTTCAAAGCTCAGGACTTGTGCTGATGACTAGAATAAATCCTGTATTTGGAATCCATCAGTGTTGAAGTGGTGAGTGGAACATATAGTTTTAAACACAAATGTCTGTGAGAACAGTTACTGGAAATTTTAAAGGCTGACTGGGGGAAAAATTTCCAAAAGACTGCAACACTCCAGAAAAGCATCAATTTACCAAACATTGTTTCAAAGCTCAGGACTTGTGCTGATGACTAGAATAAATCCTGTATTTGGAATCCATCAGTGTTGAAGTGGTGAGTGGAACATATAGTTTTAAACACAAATGTCTGTGAGAACAGTTACTGGAAATGT